GCCCCCCCGCCCGTTTTTGGGGGGGGGGGGGGAGGAAGTCTATCGTGCACGTTTGCTGAACTCCCTGGGACCTAGGTTCTCGAGAGACCGTCCTCGATTCAACGATACCTTGGATGTGATCAAGTTTTTATGCAAAGATCTGTGGTCTCTTGTGTTCGGGAAGAATATCGACAATTTGAAGACCAATCATCGCGTACGCTTATCCAGCCAACGCTACGAGTTTGTTGAGGGCAAGTGCTAACGTGATGGGCAACTAGGGAGTGTACGTTCTGACCGACAACGTGTTCCGGCCATTTTCGCGCATGAGTACTGTTGCAGGGGGTCAAGCGGTCGTGCGGGCACAACCGGTATGATATGTAGTTCCCTGGCTGTGTAGTCGTGTCAATCAATCGTATCGCTAACCAAGTTTTTAGTTTCTTTGGTTTCCCTGTGGAATCGTGCGAGGTGCCTTAGCGGCATTGGGCACAAGTGCCACGGTTCAAGCAGAAATCAACGAACTGCCAGGAGCTGTTTTCCAGATCAAGACACTCAATTCCAAATCATAGCTACCAAAGATATAGGAGTTTGTTGCAGCAATTTGACACGCAAGGTGCAGCGCAATATTTGCAATTTGCTCTTAACGCGATGCCTACGAGACTCGCAAGTCGAGCCTCAAAGCCAAAGTACGACCAGTTCCTGTTGGTTCCCACATGCCTTCCTCATCCACTCCCTGAATTCTTACCATTGATGGTCGATACGCTCTTGGGGTTTGGGTAGTTGGCGCAAATGCACTTCACAGCCTATGAGAAGAATCCAACATCAGCAACAACGGCCTTATTCATATATTACGCTAATTTCACATAGCTATTGTCTCTGAAGACAGCCATCCGTAAATCAGATGGCTGCTTTGGGAAAGCTGGGGATTGTTCACTTTTGGGGAGGGTTGTGAGCAAAGTCAATGCCCTTATTAATGTTGCCTTTCAGACCCTCCACAGCCTTTACAAGAAGCCCCTTCTCCTTCTCGGTGAGACCCTCCAAGGGGTTGGTGGCCTTCTCGGCACCGTTGGGCTGGAGCAGGTGTTAGTGAATATTCAATGATAAAGAAGTTGGGATTCATGTGATTAGGGGCGCATTGGCATACTCCAAGTTCAATGGGAACAGAGAAGAAGTCGCAACCGGTCTCCTTGGCAATTGCATCGCCACCGGGCACGCCAGGAAGATAGACATAGCTGGGCTCAACAAGACCCTTTTCACCTTTCACAGCGCGTAGGAGTTTCTCAGCGAAACTAAATCAATTCGGTCAGCTGCTGTGAACAATAGTCGCTTACAACGGGGGCTAGTGGTTGAACATACCGGAACCCAGCGTACGCCATAGACAGAGTGGCAGATCCGGCTCCGTCCTTGGCCTTCACAACCTCATCGCCACCGAACTGAACACGGTTCACCAGGGCGTCGTACTTGTCAGCGGGGATGTTGACTGAAGGGTTGGCCTTGCTGAAAAGAGGAACAATGGTCTCGCCAGAGTGGCCACCAACAACGGGAATGGTAAGCTTCTGGGGTTCCTTCTGGCCGACAATTTCAGCAACAAATGTCTCGGCTCGCACAATATCCAAGGTAGTGACACCAAAGAGACGCTGGGCGTTGAAGACCTTCTTTGCCTTCAAAACTTCAGCGGAAATGGGAACAGTCGAGTTTACAGGGTTGGAAATGACCAAAACGAAGGCCTTGGGGGCAACCTCAGCAATAGTCTCTACCAAGCCCTTGACAATGCCGGCATTGATATTGAAAAGGTCGTCACGTGTCATACCGGGCTTGCCTGTAGAACGGGAACTTGGTTAGTCGGCATCCTGAGGGAACGGATTGCAGAGTGGCCATGCTGTGGGGGGTGGCCGCTTTGTTAGGACGTGTAAGACAAGATTATGGCATACGAGGAATTCCGGCGGGAATGACGATGATATCCGCATCTTTGAAGGCAGCCTTTGCGCCGTCGTTGGCAGGAAGGTAGCCGGTAACTTTCTAAGATAGCCCAGACATTCCTGATCAGCTCAACTGTGCTCCTCTTGATGAAAGGACGTGTCGTTGGTCCGTTCCAAGTGCCAACTTACCGCAGTTGAAGAAATGTGAGAGAGATCGGCAGCAACACCGGGCGTGTTGACAACATCGTAAAGAGCCAGCTCATCGATATGAGGGCTGTTCTTCAGGAGCAAGGACAAAGGCTAAGGAAGGAGTGAGGACAGAACAGTCAGCGAAGGACAGTCAGCGAAGGTTTGTACTCGAAAGAGCTGGTTGCTCCAATGACGGGTCTGGTCTGAGGGCAATCGCGGCAAACTCACCTGGCCAATGCCGCCAGAGGCGCCGGCAACAACTATCATCAGGGAACTGTCAGCATTATTGCTGTACGGACAGAAAAATAGCACTTTCTGTGGAAGTATTTGGGAATGCGGGGTTGAGGGGTCCGAGGCATACCAGCTTTAACCATGATGACGACGAGGACGGTTGGATGTGTATGGTCGATTGGAAACGAACCGCTGAGGCCGTTCTAATTACTTGTATGGATAGGAGAAACAAGGACCAAAAGGATGAAGAAGACGACGAAGACGGGTTCCAAGTGATGTGAAAAAATGGATAGTTGGAAAGAAGGAAGGAGGCACCAGAGAGGTTCACAAAGAAATGGCGCGGAGCTTTCTGTATAGCAAAGAGGTGCTTGCACCATCGAGGCATGGGGAAGCGTCTCAGCGAGGGGCTGCGAGGAGGGGCTCCGATGAGGGGCAGCTTAGACACCAATCAGAGCGGCACGAATGATGGAACATGTTGGACGGGACTGGCCACCACAACCACCACATGTTTTCATGATGGACTCGACCCAGCCCAGACTCCCCCAGCCAGACTCGCCCAGACTCAACCAGACTCTTCAAGGCTGGTTGGACCCGCCCGCACGTCACTGCCGGCTCCCAGTTCCCTGAGAGTCCACAGCGTCGCCGTCATGACCCGACCAACGACGCGTGCTGACTTGGTGAATCGCTTGTGAATGGCGAATGATCCCGAGGCTATTCGAGAGCCCTCGCCATCCGGATCTTCACGAGTCCTTGGCGTCTCTTTCCGAACCGACCTCGCAGCTGGATCTGGGAGCCGAAGTGCCCCTTGACTGGGGCCCGCGAAACTGGTCTTGCATCCAGACATCATGGTACCAAGTCACTGAGGCACGGAGCATAAGAAGTTCTCACCAAGCTCCAGTCGGTCAGCAAGCCGGCCGGACACTCGTCGTTGCCCAACCAGCCAGCCCGCCTCTTCCAGATCTAGCAGTAAGAAGCCCCACGACGCCACTGGAAGAGCAACCGAATCAGATCCCCCTGTTCATATGGAAACGAGAACCAGGGACAACCCCATGTGCTCCGTATCCAGAAGCATTCAAGCTCGCTCCATCAATAAAGTAACGCGGCTGTAAAATCCTTGCTCAGGATCTAGATGTTCCATCCAACCCGTACAAAATTCCAACAAGGCTGAGACGAAAACGCACTTGAATACACAGGGTATTTGTTTGTTGTGCAATGCATTGTTAGATATAGATGACTTAGATACTAATGTATATTTGGCGATAGGCAAACATCTTGCCAGAGAGCTGAAATCGTCTCGAGGCTGCCGCATGCGGCCAAGCATGAATCAACCATTACCACACAACAGTACCATCGGGGTTGGCAACGGGCTCTACCGCTGTCAAATAGGCGACACGATATCTCGCGCAAATCAACCAAGAAACACTGCCTTTAAGCTGGTTTGCCTTTCCGTAGAACTCTTTCGTTATCTGTCAGCTTGCTGTCATTTTACATCATGACAATGAGCCACGCAAGAGGGCCACGCCTCCATATGAGCTTTGCATCTAAATGCTTCCGTTGCTCAAGCACTCTTGTATGATTTCACACTCTTCCCTCTTAACATATTTTATCCTTGTAGTCTGTATGTGACGGTCTACATTGCCGCCATTTTCCGGGAGATAGTGATGCATACTCGGATGCCTCATGTTGCGGTTGATTAAAGACAACAAGGGCCATTACAGCCAGCAACTCCACGTTCGGTGTAAGCTAGACCCCTGTTCCTGCCTTTTAGCTGTGAGCTGCGAAGTATGCAACAGCTGTCGTAGAATAATTGGCAAAATCCATTTTGAACCGTTCCATTGTCAAATTACGCCAACTGGGCGGAACTGCCGGCGGGCACCTACGCAATACTGGACCCTGCAGGTACAGTAGTTCCATTTCGTACCTTTTACGTTAGGACTTAACATCGGAGGCTGAGTGTTAACTTGACTCTGTAGCCACTGGGATTGATGATAGAAGTTCAGGCTTTCCCCGAGACACACAATGCGTAACAGGGTTGTCATGAACTCGGGCTTCCAAAAACCATGCAACAAGAGTTTGCAAAGAAATTGCGTACGACATACAAACTGTGTTTGTGCCCTTCTTCCTTTTTGGATATTGTCACACCCCGAAAGCCCCCTTTGATCCACGTATGCGTCTTGACGAGATGTTCAAGCTTCTCTCATGTTGCCGAGGATGAAGGACGGTTTCATATACGCATGGAATCTATGAAGCTGCGAGACTCGTACTGCATTACGGATGTAATGACCGCCTTTCTCAACCATCTCACATGTTCCGTGGTTGCCAGCATGCGTGCCAGCATGCGTGCCAACGTCATCAACTACGCCTGTGGAAGATGAAGACGAGGAGGCTTCATTGTCAGCCTCTTGGGGTCGACTGCAGTATTTTCTTTGAGATGTAGAATACCATCTCACGATGCTCGAGAACTACCCACATGTTTCTAGTACACATGTGAATGAAATTATGCGTCCTAGGGGAAAACATATATGATTTGAAGGGCTGAAGTTGGGCCGTGAAACAGACGTTGCCTTTCTTCGCAGTTTTCCTTCACGTCTAGTTTTCCGAGCTAAGAGGCAATTTCACAACCTCACAAAGTGACACGCGGATTGATATTCTGCGGTTTTGAACAGGCCAGCAACGAATGACTCATAAATATACGGGATCTAATGAATAAGGCGGAGGTAATCACTTCTCCAACTTGCTAAAATGGTTACACGGCGGAAAAAGAACCTTTTACATATTCGGCAAGCAGTGCTCGGGGAAGTATACGTTCCATGAAGTTCTTCCAGCTGGTGATACAAGCCTCCGGGGGCATCTGTTAAGACGAGTCAGTCTCACACTAGCAAGGCGGCTATTGCCGTCGTCGTCTTTGGCACTGGGTCGCCGATACAGCAACCTAAACAGGGCAGTTATACGAGAGGATTTCCTTTGCCTGCCGGGTTTCACCAGCTTTATACGCATACATGGCTAGAGGTGGCCCCGCGAGGACTCTCTTTCATAGTACTTCTATCAACTGTCCTTCCATGACCTAAAAAGCGGCGATACCAACTAATACGCGAGACAACAGCCGTGTAAGTATCCAAAATCGGGAAGAACTTGGTATTGATGAAGAAGGCTCGACTCGACTCTGTCTAAACCATTACCTTGATCGTAATGGTCCTGGTAAATGGACGACTGGAAAACTCCTTCGTGACTGACTGGACCATTCGGTATTTATTTAGATGGGGTCGTTCACGATACAGTCGCATCTCCGTCCGGTAACTCGTTCAGTAATCGAACTGCATTCAGGTAAGTTTCATATTCCATGCGTCTCTAAGCACACCTATAGGGTTGCAGGAGAATGTCCTTTTCAAACACCACAACAGTGTCTTGGTAGCATGAAGTTGTTTCCACTCAGGCTCTGCCGCTTTTCACTATGCTAAAATCATCTCATCACCCCCAGCAAGACGCTTCAAATTCCCAAAAACATTGATTCGGTCCGGAATACTGATACCTTCATGGTATTGCCCGCAGAAGATGAGCTCATAGTAACACCCGGACCACCGCAGCGAGCGTGTGTATATTCGCAAGACCAAGTCGAGCAGAGAGTACCGGTATCAGGTCCCCTACCCACCATGTAAACGACTCGGACGCACCGCGTTATACCACTACTCCGTACAAGACGTGGCATTCTGGTAGTTGCGCCTTGTCCTTTCTGCCGGGATTTGAACCTTCCCAAACAGGCGTCAGGGTGACATGGTTGCGTCCGCAGATGAACAGGTTCGCTTGTCACATTTTTTACTCTCCGACCGGGCCCTCCTCACTATTAAAGAACCATGTCCGCTTGTGCACAGAGTCCTGGGTCGTATCCTGCTGAGGTACAATGTTGGCGCAGTCACATGCTGCTGTATGTACATGTGCAATGATCCAACACACAGATCCCGTGCGAACCACCGTGCCACGGCCTCTCCATCGTCGTGAAACACGACATACAGGGTGCCGGTATCCAATGAGACGACCGATGCCACAGAGCCGCGCTGTCAGTCCCCTGCTCAAGCATGCTCGGCATTGGCCTCGGCCGTAGCGTGCGGGGAAAGCTGGGAGCTCGACACGGGCGCCAAAGGACTTGATATACATTGAGGAGCCTGTGTCATTGCCGTCTTGTTTCGGCATTGCACGGTGGTGCGGCGGTCAGATACAATGCCCCGGGGGGGGGTTGTTGCTTGCTTTTCTCTCTCACCGATGGGTAAAAACATCCCACCCGACTGAGCTTCTCAAACCCGGAGCAGTTGCAGTCCTGCGTAATGTTTGGTGTGTTTTATTGCATCATCTCATGCATGACCAGACCGTGTTCCATCTCGGGGCGCGCCTTCTTCGCGTAGAGTGCTCTAATGCAAGCCGACGGCCTCAGCTTGACCGTTTTCGTGTCTGCAGCGAACATGGCGGCTGCTAGTCTCATTTAGAGGGCGTCACCATCACATAGATTACACGTGTTATGACCAGCCACCAGGATTTCTAGCATCCTGTTGTTCCTTCTGCCGTCTTTCGCACCAAGGGTTCGGACAATGTGAGTTTCGGCTTCAAATGGAGGAGCCAGTGACGTGGACCGAGATTACGGCTCCCATCGATCAACGGGAGGTCTCGTAAAAGTCGTGCCCAGCTAGTTGGGAAGCAACAGAACTCTGCGTCGGAATAAATAAAGGCTCTGGTGGATTTATTTAGCACCCCTACGAGTGGCATTCTAGTGTTTCTAGCTTGGTAATTAGTCACAAGATCAACACTTGTCAAGGTTACCTATTAACACTACTATTAATACTATATATTTTATGAAATATTTTTATATACCTAGGTACTTGATATACCCTTATATACTTGTAATTTTCCCATCAAAATAGTATACTTTTAGGGTGTCAAATTCGCTAGAGAGGGTGCTAAATAAACCCACCTTACATAAATAGTAAATTAATCCTTCGTCTCATAGCCTTTATATCTAGCCTTGAACTGAGATTTAGACATGATTCGCTATTCGTCTTGTTATAAACGTGTCCGAACCTCGTTTATTCCTGTAAGGTGGTTGGGGTGACCCCGCCCGCCTACAACGTGGAGCGAGGTTTCCCGACCATATTCCCCGCACTTTACACAACTACCCGTCAGCGACGACTAAGTGGACGAGCCACTTACTAGTAACTACTTTAACTGAGGCGTAAAGGTCAGTCTCGCAATGGGCTTCCTCCTCTTTCACCTACTCTATATAACCTTAGGTAACCCGCCCTTTGCGGCATTACAATAAACCAAGACAAAGAAAACCAGGAGCTAATATAACGAATTTGATTCATGCCTCCCCGACGGGCTTTCCACCGTATACATGACTGTCCGTTAGATCATCTTTGCCTTGTAGCCAGGAAATTCCTCAATGTCATCCAATACCCAGTCTATTGGAGTAACAAAAGTGACGTCTACCGCACGACTCTGCTCTCTTCCGTAAGAGTTCTCGAAACATATACAATCTTTTGGCGTTGAAGAGGTTGCAGAGTCTTTGGGTGAGACAGTAGAGCCGACACCTTCATAGTGTTTGCCGAATCTTTTAACATTGACAGATTGTTGCCCGGCATCAATAATTCCCACCACTCGCCCACCATGGTCGAAGACACAAGAGCCAGAATCTCCTGGTTTACTGAAAGGCTCCAACTGCTCTGTCGTGGAGTTTTGCTTGGTGGTATAGGAGACGACAAGGCAAGCCCGAGAAATTATGGCCTCCTCTCCGGCAATTGGTGTGCGAAGAATGCTCTTTTAGGGCTGTCTGCGTATTGAAGCAACGACTATAGCTATCCACCTTTTCTTCATCCCTTTCAGAAGCTCGAAACTCATTAATCCTTCGTTGGATGGGTTTCAATAGCTGTTCGGTGAAATACCGTGCTCTTTCAGGTTCCTCCCGGCAAGTCTTCAAGGGGCTGAGAGAGGAACTGCAAGCTGTAAATGATGTAGGTCTCCATCTTGCTCTTTATAGTCCATTACTTCCCTCTCTTTACCAGCAATAGCGACGTGACGGCTGACTGACCCGTAGGTCTCTGACTTGTCGCCATCAAATTGGAGATGCAGCCCCATCGTTCCGTCCGGGCCGTGGGGTGCCCGGCAAATACGGTAGCCAAGAGAGGAATGAACTGGGAGCATCGCTTCGTTGATCTGTGCTGCCATATTGTACGTGTCGTCTTCACGGAACCAGTGCTTTTGGTCCGCCTTGCCCTCAATCAGCTTGCGAGTTTCGGCAAGCTTAGTGACCGTAGCTTGTACAAGTTCGACTTGGACATCTAGAATATCGGCTGTGAGGAGAACCTCCCTGCATGCCAAGGCAATCTCTATGGCGCGCTCCCACTCCATGTCGACTTCGTCCACTGTAACCATTAAGACAACGGGGTGTACACTAAGAGCTAGGTTATCCTTATTACGGAGGGATAAAGTATTTTTATAAAAAGTCTTTTAGTATAGAGGATAGAGGTAATATATATAAAATTATATACTAATAAAGCGTGGTAAATTAAGAAATGAGCTTAAATTTAATATGAGGTACGGAGTATTAGCACGGATAAAAAGGGTTGGTAGCACGACCCGTGTGAAAAGAAAAGACCCAGCTTCAGGCAAGCCAAGCTGGCATTGAATTGTCGAAATTGCTGACGGCCGCAGAGACTCGCAACGTGCATCGAGATTTCCAGTCTGCCATGGAAATCATTAAATGCCATGCCGGCTGAGGACTAGAAACAAACACGGAAGCCCATGTCTTGTCGACAAAACCAGGTGCTGCTTTTCGACTCAAGCATTGATCCCAATGTCAGGCTCCCGACTCTGAATGCCGTGGGCCATTTCCAGTCGTGAGTTTCGACAGCGTCCCCAACCATGGGAATATTTTTGCACAGGAGCTTCACCTCGGGATTGTCCGCTCTCGAGAGCAGTAATGTATGACTATGACGTACAAAGTCCCGCTCGTCACCAGCCATTCAATGATTCCCATGGTTTATGGTCCATTGAGGGGGGGCTTTTCCCACTCGGTTGCCGTGGCTAAAAGACCACGAAACTCGGGGCGGTCGGACTTTGACAGCCAAAGACATCTCTTCATGTCATTTTTTTTTTTTTTTTGCCATTTGCGTGCTTCTTCTCTTGGTTTTCTCCTCATTCTGCGAGAGGGGTTCCTGGGCAGGGCCCATTTCGTGCGGAGACGAGGCGGAGCTCATGGTGGATGACGATGATTTCTGCACTCAGACTTGGAGGCACTTGGAGGCGTTGTGTGAGTGGCGGAGGCTGCGGCGAGGGCCGGTCCCTGGTCGCTTTGGCGGCATCAAATCATCAAATTTTCATGACTGTGATGTTTGCACAAGACGGTGACCAAACGGGCACTGCGTCTAATGCAGCAGCTGCAAAATAAAGAGAGAGAAAAGGGTTCCGCATAAAGACGAAGACAATTGGTCCTGCCAAGATTGGGCATGCAGATTATGAGATGGATTATTGACAACGGGCTCGGCAGAGGATGAGGCTGTTCGCTACTTTTACTCGGTATTGACGCCTGATTTTGCTTGGTGAAACCGTATTCGGCCAACGCCAATTCGATACCAAGAATAACCAGCCGGGGGCGCCGAATGCACGAGATGCCAGATGCACACACGGCGAGCCTTTCCCATTCTCTCACTCTCTCCACGCCTCGGCAAACGGGCAAGAAGAAGAAACAGGAAACAAGAAACCAACTGCAGTTGGAGTCAAGTTGAGCCCACACTGCCTCCTCAACTCCTCAACCCAAGAGCAACCAAGTTAGCACCATGCAAGTATGCCTGTCCCGTTTGTCCCGCCTGGCCCGCCTGTCCCAGTTGTTGCAGCTGTTGCAGCTCTCCAGCGGAGGCTATTGCTGCGCTTCGGCTGCACCTTATCCGCGACGCAGGGCCAGTTGACGAGATCTCTCCAATGGGCACTCGTGACCTAGATGTGAAGCGTGACGATTTCGCGTGTCTGTGGGGACGACGTGTACGCCTGGGTTGTGCTCCGTAAAGAAGCGGCTTTTTCTCTTCCCCTTGAGCCTCCACTCCATGCATGCGTTTTCAAGGAAGATGACAGAGTCGTTGTCCTCGACCCCCGTCAGTTTTACCCGTTGACAATGGGGAATATTGTTTTGTCGCGTGCTCCTTGGCTCGAGGTCGTTCCCACTTGCTGGCTCTGCCAAGAGGCAAAATCCAATCATCATGACGCCGTTTGCGACGAATGCCCGTCTTTGTATTATGGATTCACCATGTATTTGGTCCCTGTGTTTCCCAGTTTTGTAGATAAGTCTGCCGTGTCGTGTTGCCGTGGCGTAGTAGGTGAACTACTTACTACCTAGTAGTAGGCAACGTTAGTATGTATCATGTATTCCGTACATGCTCCCGAGTCCCGAGTCCTGGCGTTGCAAACGAGACATGGGCTATCATTACAATGCGGCGATGCTTTTGTCATGACGGGAGGAAATAATGTGCCTCCTTGTGCCCCAGCAATCATCTGTCTGACTACCACCTCTCGGATATCCCGTGACTCACGCTCCTGTGTTACCTGCTATGCTGGAACGCAGCACTGGCCGAGACGGCCCTGACCTCAAAGATGCCTCATCCTACCCGGGCCATCGGGCAAACAGGCTGAGGCATCCCGTCTGCGCGCGTGATGCGCAGCCATGTTCACAGCGGCGGGTTACATCAAGGGATGGATCCATCAAACTTGTCGCTGACTGTGCAGCTCCCAAAACGCTTGCCAGAAGAACAGTTTTGTTTGACGTCATTCGTCCATTGCTTCGCCCAGTGCTGGCCTGATGATGGATGGTGCCCTGATCGAATATCCATGTGTGCAACATTGACTGAGAACGAGGTGTCTGTCCGTTTGGTCGTGGTCTCGCGATTATCTTCTTACCCATGATTACCGAGCCGAGAGCTGCAAACTAAAGAGGAAAAGAAAGAAAAGAAAAAAAAAAAAAAAAAAAAAAAAAAAAAAAAAAAAAAAAAAAAAAAAAAAAAAAAAAAAAAAAAAAAAAAAGTAATGTAAAACGATGTTCTGAGTCTGTTCCCTGCATAATGCGAAATTGTTCAACTTTTCTCGCACGACAACCAACATGTGTAATCGCAACTTCATGCTCGTAGGCTGCATTTTGCAAAACGTCTGGTGTGCTCAAAGAGTCCGAGACCTCATGTCAAACGGCCTGCAACATCTCCCACAACGGGTCTCGCAGCCCCCCTTTGACCGAAGGATCGTGGCATTGTTGCCTTAACCCCCAGTGAGTGTAGCCGTAGCCATGGAAAAAAAAAATTGGTGGTTGGATGGCCTTGTTCTGGTAATCTCCATGTCACCTACCCCGTACGGAGACATGCACACCATAAGGATGTGTTTGAGTTAATGTAGTCAATGTCACGGCGGATGCACGCGAGATATGAGTCTCATGTCTGGCCCTTTGTCACTGCATTTGTTCCACAAATAGTCATATTCCCGAGGCGCAAGATAAAAGCACTCCGTACTCCGTATAATGACATGAATGTGCAACTTCCGGAGCGTCATGCGTCAAGTTTTGCTTCGATACCGGACCTTGTCCATACTCGTGCGTTCTCAACGTCGTTGCTCCGCGCAGCGACACACACACCTTGGCGAAATTGTGGTGATGCCCAAGGTCAAGTGTTAAACAGGGCTGCCTGCAGGAGCCTTGCAAAACTTGGGCAATAATGCTTATTGTAGTATTGTACAGCGTGTACGGAGCATGTATGGTAGAGTACAACAGCTCGTCTCCCCATGTGTCGGAGATCACTGATCAGCAAGGCCACCCTGCCGCCGCTTTTGGCCATGCCAACTTACTCCCTTGCCGCTCTTTCCCGCTCTGATAGTCGGTCTGCGACGGGCAGCGACGTTAGATTGAGATATTCCAGGACTGCCTGGTCTATCCAAGTAGTAGTCTAGACCACCTGAATAATGAGGGGCATGCGCAGAAGTTGTTGCATCTTGAGAGGTTGGTTCTCCGCAAAGGCAAGAGGAGAAGCCTTTTTCTTTTTTTCGTCTTCCAAGGCCTGCCATTCGACTGTATTCCAGCTTATGGAAAGCCCGGCTGTCAAACATGGATCGCGAGAGCCACAAAATGACCCCGGTCCCATGTGTACGGATCCGGCGGGGGGAAGGGTGTGGTGTTTTAAAAAACGACAAGCTCTCGGTAGTGGACTCCGTGCAATGATCCCTACGTCCTCCGGACCGACCATGATATGTTTTCACATCGTGCTTGTGCTGCGCTGCATTATGAAATCAGTGTCGGGTGTGGTAACGAGCCATTGTTGCCGGGCCAATTCTCTCTATCTGAGGCCCATGTCGACCTTCACGCTGGCACTGGCTCTCCTGTCCTACCCAGTTCGTTCGCTCCTTCGTCATTTGAACTCCCGTCCGTCACATACAGCTTCTGTACCTTTGAAGCTGCGTCTGGGGCTGATACCAAGGCCCTTCCTTCATCGACCGCGTACATACTGCTTGACACCTCACCTGCTGCACCACTGCTCACTGCACATGTATTTGCACTAATAATAATTCTGGCATTGTGCATTAGCGCCATTGTGCAAAAAAGTGGTGCTGTCCATCCCCAATCCCCAGTAGCTTTTTTCCTACATGGGAAGGGTTCTAGAACGCTATTCCAGATTGGGCCTTAGCGCTCAAGCTCCCGGCCTTGTTTCAGCGTAATTTGGATCTTTTTTTCCCTAGTAATAACTATATCGCTGTGCAGAATAAGACCAGTTGACTTCAACGGCGCACACCAGCCAGCCATGCACAGGATATGCACGGGGGCCTGGTAACGAGTACTCCTTGCAAAGTTCCTGTGTCACTCAGGCTCTCGGTCCCCTTGCTCCGACATTGACTTTGCCCGTTGCTGTCTTTGTCGTGTTTGGTTGGTAAGACGGCATGCTTCCCTCTGTCTCTATTGTTTTGTACCGTACCTTGAGCACCAACAGCATGTGTGATTATTCAGAGATCCTGCTCCGTTCCACTCGGAGCCTGTCTTGAATACACGGAAAATACCTGGTGGTCCAGATAATCCTCGTCGTATTGGACAAGTCCAAATTTTGCCTACCGCTTCCAGTTTCAAGTGGTCCCCAGATGCTGAGCCCACACTCAAACGGGGATGCCACTTTTGTAATAAGCCGTCCAACATGGGGCCGTAATACAGTAGTGGTGGAAACAAAGAATTCGAGGCTCCATAAGCTCCAGCCAAGGACCCTGAGGCAAGGTAGTAACTAAGTACTAGTACATATGTAGCATCTTCCGAGCTTTGACAAGCTCATGGCTCCCACTACGGAGTAAACGCGTCCAGATTCCGACTCGCCCAGTCGCGTGCCGTGCCTCTCTTTCGTAAAGTGCATGCAGGAGTTTTGATT